TTGTCGTGAAAGAGCACAGACAGTTGTCGCGACTCGGAACTAAAGATACGGACCTTCTTCGTGCAGAATCTCGCACAGTTTGGCCTTCGCGTGTTCTCCTCTTTAACTACAGGGTTGGCCGTAATTATAGCGACAAGAATTGGCTGGGCCAGTTTTTTAGCGTACATTCTATCGCGCACATAGCGCGCCAGTTTTATGGATTTTTCAATCTCATCATTTTTTCTAACTCCTGTTAAAATTTGGTTAAATTTGGTCCATTCATAGTGAAATGGTGAAGCCTTCTCCTGATCGTTCCGCTATCGTTCGTCTGCACAAAGCCGGCCGCCCACCCGCCACGATCGCTAAGCATTTCGGTCATCCACCGAGAGCAGCTCGTGTATCGGGCACACTACAAACGTTATCGAGACCTTGGTGGACTCCAAGACCGCCGAAGAAGTGGAAGACCTCGTACTGCTCGCACGCCGAAGGTCGTCGAGGCCGTCAGAAAGCGGATAGCAAGAAACGCGACTCGGAGCATCTCGACGATGGCTCGCGACATGGGAATCTCGCGGAAGTCAATGGAAAGGGTCGTCCACGAAGACCTTAAGATGTACCCCTACCGTACTCGGAAGGCTGCTATCCTCAGCGCCTCGAATCAGCAGGCGCGAGTCAAGAAGTGCCCGACAGCTTTTGCTTCGGACGCGCAACAAGGGCCACCATTCGATCGTCTTTTCGGATGAGAAGCTCTTCACCGTCGAGCAGCAGTTCAACGCTCAGAACGTCAGAGTGATCGCAAGGAATGCCGAGGAAGCCGATGCCTTGACAAAAAGGCGAAAGAGTCGTTGCATGCGGGCGCACACCCTGCCCAAGTCATGGTTTGGGCAGGGGTGTGTGCCTCGGGGAAGACGCCGTTGATATTCGTCGACCCCGGCGTCAAAATCGACAAAGATTACTACCTGAAGACGATTCTGGAAGATGCTCTACTCCCGTGGGCGAATTCCCACTTCAACGGCCGCCCGTGGACATTCCAGCAAGATTCGGCGCCCGCCCACAAGGCCAAGGTCGTCCAAGCGTGGTGCAAGAGCGAACTCCCCGCGACTTCATCTCGGCAGAAGAATGGCCGGCATCGTCACCGGATTTGAACCCACTGGACTATAACTTGTGGTCCTACCTTGAGAGCAAGGCCTGCGCCACTCCCCACCCCAATTTGGATTCTCTGAAGGCAGCGCTCATCCGAGAATGGGACGAAATCGACGACGCACTCCTGCGTCCGGTCATCGACGCCTTTCCCAAGCGACTCCGCGCTGTCGTCGTGCCAAAGGTGGCCGAATCGAGAAGTAACTTATGATTGTTAATGTACCAGTTGTTACTTAATAAATGTTATGTTCATGACTCGTTTGCACTTTTGCTTTCTGAGATATAAGGTGAAAACCTTGTCGCTATATTTATGGCCAACCCTGTAGTACTGTTGTTCGAAAAGTCCTGCGACACTTTGATTAAATTGTTCTAGAAAAAGACCAAAAATCATTTTGGATGTTTTTATCCCTGATTAGTGGAGAGTGTCCTCTGGGGTTTCTGCACATGGGTATATCATGACTTTGTGGAAGTTTTCAAAGCTTAAAAGTCCCCCAGAGATCGAGGTACTTTTCGACCTATCCCATATTATGAGTTCCTGTAGGGCAACTCCGCCGTAGTCGAGGAAGCTAACACTTACGTTGTCTTGAGGAAGGAGATCGCTTGCCATGAAAGAGGGTAGCTGTTGCATCAGCGCTTCCAGGCTGGACTTATTTAACTCGTAGTTAGGCAATGTGTAGGTCGCCCACCAGCACAGAATGACGACCCTTTACTCAAGCTTCTTGAGCCGCAGCCGAAGGTAACCACCAGTAAGTTGGCAACCTCTCTAGGCTCCACCTGCCTGACAACTTCCGTGCTTCTCCGCAATCTCGTTATCGGAAAAATTCTATGTGAAGGATGCCTCATGAGTTGGACCCGTCTGACAAGTCATACCGAATGACCGCATGTGGGAATCAGGCCACGTCAAAAATCATGAATTTTGATCAGAGAATGCGACCGTACCCAGGTTATTCAGCAAAGTTAGCGGCCTCTAATTATCACCTCTTTTGGTCCCTATTGCATCCTTTGAAGAGCAAAAAGCCCGAAAATCGACCTCAACTCGAGAATGAGGTCCACCTCTTCTTTTTATCACAGTTGCCGTAGTTCTATGAGAATGGAAATGAGAAGCTGTGCAAAAGAAGGGACTAGTCCTAGTCATCAACTATGGTTACCTTGTGGATTGGAGATGTCTTTGGGTGACAGAAAATTTAGTGCGAAAAATTTGGTCCAAAGTGTCGCAGGACTTTTCGAACAACCTAATACATTAGCACCTGCTCTTTCCTTCTTTCTGAACTGTTTTCAGGTATAAAAACTATATTCTCAGGCTGAATTGCGTATCTCCCCATACCTGATCTATGAGCCATCCGTATGTTAAGGGATGATAAGCGGTTTTACTGCCTGGTGGATACTTTGGCGCTTGCACTGTTCGATAATGGTTGGCCATTCGAAGAGGGTTAGTCAAATCAGGCAAGCTCAACGTCTCTTCGAAATACGGAAGACCAGCCTGAAACAATTAGAACTGTATGACGAGCTTCCTACTTCGGATACAGACTGTAGTGCCTTGCACGTTGCGACCTTAATTATTTTTGTGAGGCAGTTTTCGATGTATTGCATGTTTCAGGGATAAATACTGTAGAATCAGTTTAGTAATGGCTACCTGGAGGATGAGTGGATGGGAGGGGGGAATTTGCACTTTTGCACATCGTCCACCGAGTGGTTTCATGCCATCTGGAGGGCCATTTTATGAGCTTACAAGTGTTGACATGGTGGCTTCACGACCTTGTTCAGCTTCAGAAGAGTTCACAGGTTTCACCTGAGAGAGACCTACAAATCGGAACTTGTGAAGCAGCGAAAGTATAAGACGCTCACCCCCTCTGACTGCGCCGAAGAGTTTGTAATTCACCGCGCTTTGTTCACTGTATCTGATTAGTATGCAGACTATCACCATCAGGCAGCACGAATGCATCCTACTCCTGCTCACGAAGTCTGATTGGTGCTCTCTACCTCACATCAGTCCCGCTTGGAGTAACCACCGTACTGCCGCCCCACGCTAACCGCCACTCAACCTCACTGTCACTAAAGCCAAGCTTCGTCGAATCTCTGCCTACTACCCTCTGGAAACTGTCGTTCAACTGCGGCAGTGACCAGTGCAACGGTACTGGAGGGTGGTGATACCTGAGCGCTGCTTCCATACTCCGCCCACCCAGTCACACGCCTAATGGTAGCCAAACGCGCTTCTTGTTTGGCGCCTTTCTCACTTTTGTGGTTGTTCTCTTACTGACTGATGGTAATTTGCGAGGACGGAGAGGGTGGTATCGAGGCAGGTGGTGGATCTTTGGTGATGGTAAGTGGAGTTTGGTTACTGGCAGCTGGGTGTCACTATCCTCAGCATCCGGCGTCGCCTTTTTCTATTAGCCGAAGAAAGTGGCACACCTCTAACTTGGGCCCCTTTTTCACTGCACATGGAAAGTACCGTCTCGTATGTGATTATACAGTTTGCAACTGAAGGCACGGTCCTCGATAAAACGCCCAGGTGAATGTTGCAAAAATTCGTAAGAGAGAAATTCGCCTAAGTGAACCGTCCCCCATGAGAGAAAATGCCAAGAGGGACGTTGGAGACGCATTTGTCAGGCCTCCTCTAGCCTCAAACAAGTGAGCTAAAAGACCGAAAAAAGCGCACTATGGGAGTATTGCCCGTCGGCTGATTCCTAAGAACCCTATGACTCTACAAGAGGCACTGAATGTATCCACTCCATGATACTTGCCTGGGAGTATTACTTTTGGCTGGAAGGCCGACTTTGGAGGCGGAGTCTGGAGGCGGAGTCACTGGAAAAAGTGGCTACCACCGACGCAACTTTGCGCCCTAATTCCTTTACCGTACAACGTTCCACCGCGAAATTGGTACTGGGTTCTCCACTCCGGCCTGTACTACCTTCCCACTTAACCTCTTACATTTTTATAGGTCATCGCGGACCGTTCCTTTAAGTGAAACTGCTACAGTATATCAGCTTAGCTAGCTCGGGAGTGCTAGCTAGTAGCATCGAGTGGCTAAACGGCCTGAGCCAAAGGGAGAGAAGGTGGAGAGGCGACTGTTTTAATAATATAGTCCGCTGCATCACTCAAGGAAGTTTGAACAGTAGAGGCTGCATGTATACTTTTACTATTTATTACATGCACGCAAAGCGCACATGAGCATTATGCGCAACGGCAAACTCAAAAGCTCACATGAGCATTCTGAAGCAAACGGGCAAACTCAAAAAAAAGCTAATTGACAAAATGGACCTTGCAACATTCAGAACTCGATGTAATAATTAAAAGAAATTCGATGAAAAGGTAAAGCAACGTAAGGTAACGTAACTCGGAAACCTGACCATTTCCTCAAGTGTCAATGTAGTTTTAGAAATCAAGAATAGTCCGTAGTAGCCCTCAAGTCAAATGCTGATGCAGAATCTTTTTTAGCTGAGCTAAGTTCCCAGGCATATATATACTCGTATACTTCATTATTCGAGTATAGAAAGCAGTTTTACAAACCTTGTGGGCAAGTATCATCTCGATAGTAATGTCAGCCTTCCCATTTTGTCCGAATTCCGGCCAATACTGTGTGACTTTGTCGTTATAACTGCACAGTCCTCTATCAACCAGTATCGCTACACATATCGCTGCCACACTCTGTAAAAAACCCTATGCTTGTCTTGTTTTAGCAATGATCATCTGTTTTCTTAAGCAGAACATTTTTAACATTTTCATGAGAATCAATTTTTTACAAAAAGCACAAAAATGCGCACTTCTCAGAACTTTTTGCGAAGGAAGATTTGATGGTGAGAAAGATTTCCTGAATCGAGAGGCTAATGCATAAAGTCAAATTTCATTCCCTTTCTCACATAGCATCGCGCCACGATCTTTTCACTGCAGAAAGGGGCGTGCCAATGATAGGGTTTGGCGCGCCGCCGGCCCGTTCTCCCAGTTGTTGAAGCGCTAAACCGATAACATCTTGTGGAAAACGGATGACACGAGCGATGTGATACAGTATTGTCGCCTGTCGAAAGAATAAAAGTGAAAAAGACAGGTTGGCGACACGCCAACTACATCCCCTCTGACACCCGCCGTCATCCGCCCTGGCAGGCTATGCAAACATCTCGAAAAGTCTTTTTAGTTTTAATAGTAACGAGTAAAATTCAGAAGATAACAAGAACTAACCGGATTATTTTGTTTGTTTCTGACATAACAGGGTGCGCTTTTAATAATCGCAATTTCGTTCTGAGTGATCACTTTTTTATATCGAAACGGACACACTGCTGATACGGGGTCAGTAAATAAGTATGACCTCCACTCACCTTGAAAAAATCGCAGCTAAGCGGTTATGCGTTTCCGTCGTCACCTCGGAACAACCTTATCCCTGGAGTTACATTTCTTGGGTGACGACAGAGAGGCCATCACGCTGTACGGACGGCTAGCCTGCCAAAATGATCGTTTTGTTCAAAGTGGGCGAGCTTCTGAAAAGTAAGCGAGCCAACTGTTACCGTCTCAAGAGACTAAAATTTTTCGAAAGAAAAGAACAAATCCTTCATTTTATAAACCAGTAACTTTGTGTGTCGGTTTGTATGTATGTATGTATGTATGTAAGTATGTATGTATGTATGTAAGTATGTATGTCTGTCCGTCCGCAAAATGCTTCACGGGTTCGAATTAGTGGAAGGAAGAACGACCGCTAAGCAAACCGGAACGATTGGTGAGCAGAATGTATCAATGCAATGTTTTGATTTGATAGGCATCCTCCACTATATAAGACAAAAACCATTCGGTACACTCCGAGCCATTGCACGAGCTGCTGGCGTGGCAGCTGGACGTGTGCTCGTGCGGGGGCAGGGTGGGGTGGGGCCGAGGGGGGGGGGGGAGCCCAGTGCCCCCCCCCCTCTTTGCTTCCTCCCCATGCGCGTGCTCAGCCCGCATCTGAAAAGGAGAATGAATGCATGCGCAAGGGAAGGAAGCAAGAGGCCGGGGCGGATCGACGATACATGGGGGTTTGTTCCGAGGCATGTTATAGGTTATGGCACAGAAACCATGTGGGTGACAAGAACAGCTAGCTGCTGATAAGGGGAGTTAGAGTGGAAAGGTCAACACACTCATAACGCGGGACACAGCATCAGTAGGCGTTGATTCCAGCAAATGATATCAAGGGGAAGGTGGAGACAGCGACGGCGGATGACAGGAAGTAATAACGGTCGATAGGGCCTGATAAGGTTTTTTGCAGTTGTTGTCCAATCAAAAGCTGGAGCCTTTACACCACGAAATTATGGAGTTTTAGTGATAGCGACATTGATGACGGGTGACAAGCAATTTTATCAAGTGATAAGTAAAGATAAGGGGACATTCTCACGACATCTCTGACCACTATACTGCCAAAAACCCTCTCAGTAGGCGAACTTTTCCTCCAGCTATCACTTCTCTGATAGCACTAGAAAGTGAACTCATCCCACTAGGAGGGGAATGCAAATATGCAACCTTAGCAGGCGGATTGCATGTTAATGACAAGTTAATCGCCCATCGTTGGTGTTGTGATGCAGGTAATAAAAACGGAATAGTGTTCATCTACTGTGCAACACATATTCTACTTCCTATATATTTCTATGATCTACTTATAGAATGGGCGTTATGGCCGAAACCAGCACGCCTTCTGCAAATATGAGGGGTGTAGATTTTGCTAGGTTACTCTATCTATTATGACTAGCGTGCAATATGAGCAGCTCAGGCAATTAACAAATTCCATCCCGTTATGATGTGCGCCTGGCAAAGCCAGGCCAGCTCGCGGCGAAGGGCTTTAGCTAAAAGAAGGAGGAGAAGCTCGGAGTCAGCCGGGCGATCCGCTGTTTTCATAAGAAAGGGCGTGATAAGAGGGGCAGAGCCCACAGTGCCAGTGTACATTCGTTTTGTGAGGGAACGTTCGCGCAAATGTGAAAAGAAACGGAGTCGGGAAAATGCTTAATAAAATTCATATAATCATGGAAAAACGAAGGTTTTTTTTTTTTTGCAAAAGTAGTATTTGTGTGGTTGGCCCAACAGTTTTGAGTTAAGAGTGCGTGTGCAGTTAGAGTGTGTGCGAATAAGCAAAAAAAACAAAAAAATGTCAGAGGAAAAAAGTTCATCAAGTGAATTTGGGAGAACCATGACCGCGCTCAGAAATGGGCAGGGTTTCGAGGCGGGGTGGCAAGTACCAAGTGGGATCTATAGTTGTCAAACTGGCCCAATGTAACGAGGTGTATCCGATGTGTTATGAAAGTATTGCGAGATTTGATTCGAAGGGTGCCGGATTTGGTTTGGGAAAGTGTCGCGTTTGCTTTCAAAAAGCTGTCCGATTTGGTTTGAAAAAGTGTCGCAAGTGCTTTGGCAGCTTTTTTTTGCATAGATAGACTTTCTTGTGCCCTTTAAACACACCTATTAATTGCGAACATATCATTTCACGGTAGTGTAAGAATGAAACAAATTGTAAGATAAGATATGCCTAAAAAGCATTCGCGTTTTCAAGGCTAAGTAAACAGTAAACAAGTAAAATAATTATGTTGAAGAGTTTACCTTGGTGCAACTAAACAACAAAGTCATGGTGTCCCTCGTTCCATAGTCGATTGCATGACTTATCGGCATATCCACCCCATAAGTCCACAACTAGCCTTCCTTTATGATAAACTGCAAAGGCTGCACCGCCTTTCTCCCAACCGTCGACGAAATTTCCTCTGAAACGTCATTTGTCAGTGAGACTGAGGTAATAGTGATATATTTCAAACACTTCCTGCCCTATCTACTCAGTTTTCACGGGTTACCGTCTGGCTTCCAGTTAATTGGTCTGGTTGTACTAGGTTAGCCTGTATCGATAGAGAGCAACATGTTACAGTATGCCTCAACTACCTGAACGATTCCCGAACTGCTTTGAAGTTCTCGTCTGCAGTTCCATCAGTATGGAATTCTTTCATCTGAAACAGTATTTTGTCCAGTTTTTGTTTTGTAGAACTCCGCTCTCAGCAAACAAAAAAAAAAAAACACAGAGACAAATTGAACAGCGATATGATCTGTTACAGTGAAAGAAACACAAGCGCAACATATGTCATGTATCTATCATGTATTCACAGCTACATTCATGTATCTGGCATTTTCAGTGAAGAAGAAGAACACAAAAGAAGTGCTTGAAAACAACGGTTCTAACTCGTCATAGTTGCAGCCGCATGAAGTTTCATATTGGGGCGAGCTTATAAGTCTTCTTGCCGTAAGGGACTCCGATTATGAATATTGATGTTATAAATGTTTGAGAAAAGTGTGAGCCGGGTCCAGTGCGAGACTTTCGGAACAGCTCAATGGAGGAGGACAGAATAGCTACGCAGTGCACACAGCCTTGGCCAGGACGCTCTGCTGCACTGCCTTCAAATATGAGCCGCAGAAGGGGGTGAAATAAAAAGAAGGGAGCCTTACTGGTAGGGCTGAAAGAAGGGGATGCCGTTGTGTCAAGATGATTACCCCATTTTTTCTGAAGTGGGCTTATTGGTCTCATATTTCCTGAGAACCTAAAAACACACGATCTTGACAGTGATAAGTTCCTATGTATCATCTTGTAGAGCGCACAGCGCACACGATACCTTCACGTTCGTGAATGGGATTTTAGTGCTTGGCGCACTTCCAGTGATTGAGTTTCATACGAAATTCCATACAAACTTCAACGTCAACTCATAAGGCTCTATGTGTCTAGTAATTTCCGGCAGGCTCAACTTAGTGGATTTTAGGAGCACATTATGATGGTCGAGGGCAGAGACGTGGTAAGCAGCGGCAAGCGGCTTGCTTTACGGCGGTGCCCGCTGGGGATCGAATCCTCGGATACCAACTTCCTGCCAAAATTCGTTTCGGGGATAACGAATAAATATCCAGGTCATTTGGGGAGATAAGAATTTGACTTGTCGCATTGGTGCGCCATCAGTCAACTGGCCGAATCAAGCTCAATGAACGGTGAGAGCTTCATCACTTCAACTTCTTTGTGTGATGGTATTGCAGCTAAAAACGGCATAAATTGGTAAGAAAAAGCTGCGGGATGGCTGCGCTCTTATCGCAAGACGCTCCTCCTTTGGCAGAGATAATCTGTGAGTTGGATTAGCGCTTTGTTGTGTAGTTTTGCTATTTAGGGCTGAAACCGGCTGGCTTAACTCGTGCGAGCACTGGCATACCATCACACAAAGGAAGTTGAAGTGATGAAGCTCTCACGCTCATGGAGCTTGATTCGGGCCACACACAATGACTTGATGGGCCAACCAATGGACAAGTCAAAATTCTTATCCTCCCCAAATGAATCTAGTATTTATTCGTTATCCCCGAAAAGAATGTTTGGTTATGAGTGGTATCCGAGATTCGATCCCCAACGGGACCGCCGTAAGCAAGCCACTTGCCGCTATACCACCTCTGCCCTCGATCATCATAATCTCCTAAAATCATTAACTGAGCTGCCAGAGAATTACTAGACGTCATAGAGCTATGAGTTGACGTTGAAGTTTTTGTATGGAATTTCGTATGAAACTCAATCACTGGAGTGCGCCAAGCACTAAAATCCCATTCACGAACGTAAGGTATCGTGTGCGGTGTGCGCTCTACAAGATGATACATGGCAACTTATCGCTGTGAAGATCGTGTTTTTAGGTTCATCAGGATATAAGACCAAATAAGCCATTCAAAAGAAAAGAAATGGGGTAATCAATCTTGACACAACGGCATCCCCTTCTTTTCAACTGGCTAGTAAGGCTCGCTTCTTTTTATTATCAGCCCGCCTTCTGAAGCTCATAGTTTGAAGGCAGTGCAGGCAGAGCGTCCTGGAGCAAGGCTGTGTGGCACTGCGTAGGGCTATTCTGTCGCTCCTCCAATTGAGTCTGTCGCGCGCGAAAGTCTCGCAGCTGGAGTCGCAACTTTATTCTCAAAACATTTGATAACATCAAATATTCATATCGAGCCCTCAGCGCAAGAAGACTTATAAGCTCGGCCCCAATATGAAACTCAATGCGGGTTGCAACTATGACGAGTTAAGAATCCTATGTTGTTTTTCAAGGCACGTTCCTTTGTGTTCTTCTTCTTCACTGAAATCGCAGATACATGAATGTAGCTGTGAATACATGATAGATACATGAATGTTGGCGGCTTGTGTTTTTTCACTGTAACAGATCATCTGCGCTGTTCAATTTGTCTAATGTGGTTTTTTTTTTGTTTCTGAGAGCGGAGTTAAGCTAAAACAAAAACTGGACAAAATACTGTTTCAGATGAAAGAATTCCATACTGATGGAACTGCAGACGAGAACTTCAAAGCAGTTCGGGAATCGTTCAGGTAGTTGAGGCATACTGTAACATGTTGCTCTATCGATACAGGCTAACCTAGTACCACCGAGACAATTAAGCTGGAAGTCAGACGGTAACCCGTGAAAAACTGAGTAGAGATAGGGCAGGAAGTGTTTGAAATATCACTATTACCTCAGTCTCACTGACAAATGACGTTTCAGAGGAAATTTCGTCGACGGTTGGGAGAAAGGCGGTGCAGCCTTTGCAGTTTATCATAAAGGAAGGCTAGTTGTGGACTTATGGGGTGGATATGCCGATAAGTCATGCATCGACTCTATGGAACGAGACACCATGACTTTGTTGTTAGTTGCAGCCAAGTAAAGCCCTCAACATAATTAGTATTTACTAGTTACTTGTTTATTAGCCTTGAAAAACCGCGAAATGCTTTTTAGGGCTATCGTTGATTTACAATGTTCATTCTTTACCTACGTGAATGATATGTTCGAATAATAGTGTTTTAAAGGGAACCAAGAAAAGTCTATCTATGCAAAAAAAAGTGCCAAAGCACTTGCGAGACACTTTTCAAAGCGCCAAATCGGACACTTTGAAAGCACAATCGGACACATGTTCCAAATCCAAATCGGCACGCCTTCGAAATCAATCGATACTCTTCCAACCCAAAATCGGATACACCTCTTACATTGCAGTTGACAATAGACCCACTAGGTAGCTTTGCACCCCGCCTCGAAACCCGCCATTTCTGAGCGCGTCATGTTCTCCAAATGTCACTGATCGAACTTTTTCTCCTCTGACATTTTGTTTTTTTTGCTTATTCGCACACACTCTAACTGGCACAGCACTCTAACATCAAAACTGTTGCAACCACACAAATACCAACTGGCAAGCGGCTTCTTTTTTCATGAGTATATGAATTTTTTAAGCATTTTCCGCGACTCCGTTCTTTTCACATTCGCCGAACGTTCCCCTCACAAAACCTGAATGTAACTGGCCCTGTGGGCCCCGCCGCCTCTATCACGGCCCTTTATTATGAAAGCGCAGTGCGGATCGCCCGGCTGACTCTCCGACTCTCACTCCTTCTTTTTAGCTCACGGCTTCGCGCGAGCCTGGCTGCTTTGCGCAGGCGGACATCATAAAGCGGGATGGAATTTTGTTAATTGCCTGAGCTGCTCATATTGCACGCTAGTCATAATAGATAGAGTAACCTAGCAAAATCTACACCCCTCATATTTGCAGAAGGCGTGCTGGTTTCGGCCATAACGCCCATTCTATAAGTAGATCATAGAAATATATAGGAAGTACAGAATATGTGTTGCACAGTAGATGAACCTATTCCGTTTTTATTACCTGCATCACAACACCAACGATGGGCGATTAAACTTTTATTGTTTTTCCCCCCCCAAATTAAAACATGCCGTCCGCTGCTAAGGTTGCATGAATTTGCATTCCCCCCCCTCCTAAAGGGATGAGTTTACTTTCTAGTGCTATCAGAGAAGTGATAGCTGGAGGAAAAGTTCGCCTACTGAGAGGGTTTTTGGCAGTATAGTGGTCAGAGATGTCGTGAGAATGTCCCCTTATCTTTACTTATCACTTGATAAAATTGCTTGTCACCCGTCATCAATGTCGCTATCACTAAAACTCCATAATTTCGTGGTGTAAAGGCTCCAGCTTTTGATTGAACAACAACTGCAAAAAACCCTATCAGGCCCTATCGAACCGTTATTACTTCCTGTCATCCGCCGTCGCTGTCTCCACCTTCCCCTTGATATCATTTGCTGGAATCAACGCCTAACTGCTGCTGTGTCCCGCGTTATGAGTGTGTTGACCTTTCCACTCTAACTCCCCTTATCAGCAGCTAGCTGTTCTTGTCACCCACAAAGTTCTGTGGCGCAAACCTATAAGATGCCTCGGAACAAACCCCCAGTGTTCCAGTCGGACCGCCCGGCTCTGCTTCCTTCCCTTGCGCATGCATTCATTCTCCTTCTCAGATGCGGGCTGAGCACGCGCATGGGGAGGAAGCAAAGAGAGGGGGGGGGGCACTGCCCCCCCCCCGCCCTCGGCTCCCCCCCGCCCTGCCCCCGCACGAGCACACGTCCAGCTGCCACGCCAGCAGCTCGTGCAATGGCTCGGAGTGTACCGAATGGTTGTCTTATATAGTGGAGGATGCTATCAAAATCAAAACATTGCATTGATACATCTGCACCAATCGGTTTCCGGTTTGCTTAGCGGTCGTTCTTCCTTCCACTAATTCTAACCCGTGAAGCATTTTGCGGACGGACAGACATACATACTTACATACATACATATACATACTTACATACATACATACATACATACAAACCGACACACCAAGTTACTGGTTTATAAAATGAAGGGATTTTGTTCTTTTTTCGAAATTTAGTCTCTTGAGACGGTAACAGTTGGCTCCGCTTACTTTCAGAGCTGCCGCCACTTTTGAAAACGATCCATTTTGGCATGGGGGGGGGGGGGCCTAGCGTCCGTACAAGCGTATGGCTCTGCTCCGTCACACCCAGAATGTAAAACCAGGGAAAGGTTGTTTCCGGGTGACAGGGGAAACGATAACCTGCTAGTGCTGATTTTTCAAGGGTGAGTGGAGGTCATGACTTATTTACTGCGCCGCGTATGGCAGAGGTGTGTCGTTTCGATGATAAAAAGTGTCCACGTTCCAGAACGAAATGTATAAAAAGCACCCTGTATGTCAGAACAACCAACAAAAATAATCGTTAGTTCTTATATCTCTTGAATTTTAGCTCGTTACTATTAGAAACTAACAAGACTTTTGGCGAGATGTTTTTGCCATAGCCGTGCCAGGGCGATGAGGTTGAATAGCATCGGGGGGATAACACGACACGGCGTCTCAGAGGGGGAATGTAAGTTGGCGGCGTTTCGCCAAACTGTCTTTTTCACTTTGGTTATTCTTTGGCGCAGGCGAACAGTTTTAAGCTGTATCACATGCGCTCGTGTCATCCGTTTTCCACAAGTTGTTATCGGTTTACCGCTTCAACAACTGGGGAGAACGGGCCGGCGGCGCGCCAAACCCTATCATTGGCACGCCCCTTTCTGCAGTGAAAAGATTGTGCGCGATGCCAGGTTGAGAAAGGAAATGAAATTAGACTTTATGATGGCCTCTGGATTTCAGAACTCTTTCGCAAAATCAAATCTTCCTTCGCGCAAAAAGTTCTGAGTAAAGTGCGCAATTTTTGTGGCTCTTTGTAAAAAAATTGCATTCTCATGAGTTAAAAATGTTCTGGCCTAAGAAACAGATGATCATTGCTAAAACAAGACAAGCATAGGGTTTTTTACAGAGTGTGGCAGCGATATGTGTAGCGATACTGGTTGATAGAGGACTGTGCAGTTATAACGACAAAGTCACACAGTATTGGCCGGAATTCGGACAAAATGGGAAGGCTGACATTACTATCGAGATGATACTTGCCCACAAGGTTTGTAAAACTGCTTCTATACTCGAATAATGAAGTATACGAGTATATATATGCCTGGGAACTTAGCTCAGCTAAAAAAGATTCTGCATCAGCATTTGACTTGAGGGCTACTACGGACTATTCTGATTTCTAAAACTACATTGACACTTGAGGGAAATGGTCAGGTTTCCGAGTTACGTTACCTTACGTTGCTTTACCTTTTCATCGAATTTCTTTTAATTATTACATCGAGTTCTGAATTTGCAAGGTCCATTTTGTCAATTAGCTTTTTTTGGATTTGCAGTTGCTTCATGTTGCTCATGTGAGCTTTTTTTGAATTTGCAGTTGCTTCATAATGCTCATGTGCCTTTGGTGCATGTAATAAATAGTAAATAGTATACATGCAGCCTCTACTGTTCAAACTTCCTTGAGTGATGCAGCGGACTATATTATTAAAACAGTCGCCTCTCCACCTTCTCTCCCTTTGGCTCAGGCCGTTTAGCCACTCGATGCTACTAGCTAGCACTCCCGAGCTAGCTAAGCTGATATACTGTAGCAGTTTCACTTAAAGGAACGGTCCGCGATGACCTATGAAAATGCAAGAGGTTATGTGGGAAGGTAGTGCGGTCCGGAGTGGACAACCCTGTGCCAGTTTCGCGGCGGAAAGTTGTACGGTAAAGGAATTAAGGCGCAAAGTTGCTTCAGTGGTACCCTTTTTCCAGTGACTCCGCCTCCAGACTCCGCCTCCAAAGTCGGCCTTCCAGCCAAAAGTAATGCTCCCGGGCAAGTATCATGGAGTGGATGCATTCAATGTCTCTTGTAGAGTCATAGGGTTCTTAGGAATCAGCCGACGGGAATACTCCCATAGTGCGGTTTTTTCGGTCTTTTACTCAGTTGTTTGAGGCTAGAGGAGGCCTGACGAATGCGTTTCCAACGTTCCTTTGGCATTTTCTCTTCATAGACGGTTCACTTGGCGAATTTTCTTCCACATTTCTGCAACATCACCTAGGCTTTTTATCGCGGACCGTGCCTTTAGTTGCAAACTGTATAATCACATACGAGACGGTACTTTCCACGTGCAGTGAAAAAGGGGCCCCAGTTAGAAGTGTGCCACTTTCTTCGGCTAATAGAAAAAGGCGACGGGAGCTGAGGGATAGTGACACCCAGCTGCAGTAACCAAACTCCACCTTAGCCATCCACAAGATCCACCACCTGCCTCGATACCACCCTCTCCGCCTCACAAATACGTAGTCAGTAGAGAACAACCACAAGTGAGAGCGCGAGGACAAGAAGCGCGTTTGGCTACCATTAGGCGTGTGACTGGGTGGGCGGAGTATGGAAGCAGCGCTCAGGTATCACCACCCTCCAGTACCGTTGCACTGGTCACTGCCGCAGTTGAACGACAGTTTCCAGAGGGTAGTAGGCAGAGATTCGACGAAGCTTGGCTTTAGGTGACAGTGAGGTTGAGTGGCGGTTAGCGTGGGGCGGCAGTACGGTGGTTACTCCAAGCGGGACTGATGTGAGGTAGAGAGCACCAATCAGACTTCGTGAGCAGGAGTAGGATGCATTCGTGCTGCCTGATGGTGATAGTCTGCATACTAATCAGATACAGTGAACAAAGCGCGGTGAATTACAAACTCTTCGGCGCAGTCAGAGGGGGTGAGCGTCTTATACTTTCGCTGCTTCACAAGTTCCGATTTGTAGGTCTCTCTCAGGTGAAACCTGTGAACTCTTCTGAAGCTGAACAAGGTCGTGAAGCCACCATGTCAACACTTGTAAGCTCATAAAATGGCCCTCCAGATGGCATGAAAC